GAGATCCGCTCAGTTTCAGTCATCGATTATCATCAACTCTGAATGTCGTGACATCTCCAGACACTATGCGCTTGCATTATCAAATTATAATGAGTCATAACAGTATGTGCTTAAAGATTCTTGTGACTATTTCAACATATGCAATATAGTAGTTAGAAATAAAGGTGGAAAAATTATAAATCGTAGTACACGTAACATAATCGCGGTATTGATTCAAATAAATTCAAATTTTTTTCAAGAGTTGGGTTCCTTTTTCATGTAATTGTGATTAGTATGCATAGTAAAGTGTTGCGGTTGAAATATTTTTATATATATAGTGTTTCAAAGAAGAGATTTTGTTAAAATTTGTAATCCTTACGCGACTGTAAGGTTACTAGGAGTAAATATTAGTATATGTAACTGTTTTTTTATTTTATTTGTTTGCAAGCAAATAAATAAAAATCAAAAAATACATGACAGTGTGTAGGTTTTTAGATCATTGTGTTGTTTATCAGATTTTTGTTTTCATTTCTTGAAATATACTTTATTACCACAGTAAATTGTACTCACAGAATAACGTAAAATATTGAGAGAATATATGAGAGAAAACACATAGAAGTATTATTACGTGCCACAATGAACTTAAGTAATAAGAATAAGAATACAGCCTGCGAATGATTTATAATTTGTACAAATTGTTTTAACAGTTCATTTTTTTTTTTTCTTTTAACTTTACCATTTACGTAATTGCGTTTGGAATACATTCTATACTTTGATATTTTATATAAAAAATGCAGATAAAGCTATAATAAAATACGACAATAACCAATTTTAAAACGAGAGGAAATCTTTCCCTTTGTCATGAAAGAGGTAAATTTAAATATGACAGGGTTTATTTTAATAAAAGGTTTAAGAAGGGAAAAAATAAAGTTTTTGAAATTAATATTTTAAAAATTAATATGCTTTTGAAAAAGTTATTTCATAAGATATTTTTTAATAATAAAAGTTGTAACAAATATATATATATGAGATATATATATATATATATATATATATATATATATATTTTTCCCTTTTCCTATATCATTGTCTGAAAGATAAAACCATTCAGTACTATATTGTCAAAAAAAAAGTCGGCCATCCAGTATAGTGGTTGGCGACGCTGACTGCTGTGCCGTAGGGACTGGGTTCGAATCCCGGAGAAGACATGGATGTTTGTAAATGTATAGTGCCTACGCGGGCGGCATGGGGGTACTCTAAATGGCCTTTGAGCCGTAAGTCCTCTCGTGTGGTTGGTGGAAGGGGAAGAGAGGTGGGAGGCCTCTGACCACCCCCAGAGTGTTCTCCCTCTAAATTGCAGTGGAATCGAGCCACAAATCGTTCTGTCGCCTGTATGGTGCTCAAAGCTACAACTAACGACAGGCGTCACTTAGCCCTTTACCTTGATGAATTTCGTGGGCCTCGATCTGGCCTTTGACGATCAGGTGGCATTAGTAACAACAACCACATTATCAAAAATTTATTTCATAATTTTATATTCATTTGCATTTATAAATGAGATACAAAATATATGCTGTACCTCAACTCCTTTGGATGTCACAGAACTGTAAAAGTACTCACTGCTAATTTGATATATATATATCGAGTGCTACCAACACCTCCTAGATACTATCTAAGAGGTGTTAGTTGCTGTACGAGAGCGCAGCTACAAGTTCTTGTTTATGTTCGCCAAGAGAGGCGATAACATTGCAATATGGTTACCTTGATGTTTTTATCGTGTGATAATATGGTTGCGATGGAGATTGCGAAAATTAGAGTCAATTTATATTGGCTTTTTTCCGCGGTTACCCTATTAATTTCAAACGATTTTAATTTGATTTCTTTTAAAATTTAAGCGTTTTCATTTCATTTGTTCTTCAAACTTCTATTTCAGTCTTCAGTTGTATTTTGTACTATTTTCGAATATGGATATTTCTAATATCATAGATGAATACTAGGAAATTTTTATAAAAGAATGAGAGCTGTGCTTTTAATTATTGCTGTAAATCGCATATTTCCACCTTATTTTACTTTTTAATAATGCATTTTTAAACGTTCCTTGTTCGACGAAATTCATTAAAGGAAATTGCAGTTTTTGGAACATTGCAAGTTATCAGCATTTATTAATTGATATACATTATAAATTTTAATATATATTATATAATTATTTTATTTATAATGTAGTTTAAAAAATAATTATTTTACATATTATTTATTTATAATTATTTTTATTATATTTATTTATAAAAATTACATATTATGTCATTTATTTATAATTACTAGGTTAGTAAAATTATTATTACATATCAGTATTATGTATAATAATAATTATTATATTATATAAGTGTATTATACATAGTAATTATTATTATATTATATTATACTATCATTCTATATAATTATTATTATTAAATTATATTATATGCTTATTATTATATAGTACATAATATAATTATTAGTACGTATACTTTTTTACATTATATTGACATTCATTATTAAATTATATTTGTTATTTTTAATCTATTCTTACATTCTTCATTTGAAATATATTTCAAAACATTTCTTTACAATTATTTTCCAGGCGATTTGTTACCGCTAGGATGCAATCTTGGATTTCATTCACTCGACAACTATTGTTTGGTGTGTAGCACTCCTATATCAAATTAGATCCCTATTTTTTCCCCTTTATATCGTATGACACCTGACTTGGCACCCCTTCCCAAGCCTCTCTGAATTTCCACACAATGTCAACAGAATAACTTTAAACCTCGGCAGATTTAAATTGGATCTGCTTCTTCTATATGACGGGTTCTCAGAGACAATAGGCTCGGACTCATGACACACCGGCCACGAGTCCGTCACTTTAACCATGCAGTAGAACGTCGTTTATCCGAATCAATTGGGACCGGACACCGTTCGCATACGCGATTCATCGAATAACCGAAAACCGAATGTGATCCATGCAGTATATGAAACCGGACACTATACGAATATTGAAAATCATCACAGGCGGGAAAGGTGCTTAAAGAAAAAGTAAAATAGGTGCAAAATGTCGCTATTTTACCATTTTTTCTGGAAATAATCACTTACTTTTCGCTGCACTATTGTACACCTTCGTTTTTTCGCTGCACGTTCTCTGATTTTCTTGAGCAGCAGTAGTTGAGTAGGACAGCACTTTGATTGTTGTTCGTACCGCTCCATAGTTGTCTCTAACGCAGAAAACGCGGCAGCATTTGGTGGACTCTTGCTACTTTCGCTGTTGTTGCTGTTTTCGTCTTCATCCGTTTCATCGTCGACAGGATCGAGTTCTTCTTGCACGGAAGTCACAATCTCGTCATCATTTAGCATTTGAAATCCACATTCTTCTGCATCACATGCCATCCAGGTTTCTACATCTTCTTCATCGCATTCTTGAAATCCTGGTTCGATTGGACAAAGTCGGTAATCTCCTCGCTGTGGCCGTCATTGAAGTCTTTTTCGCCTTCTAAATTTGGCCACAGCCTATTCCAAGCATTTTTCAGGCTCTGTCTTGAGAGCTGGTTCGGATATTTGACGCTCCGGATAATAAACGTTCGTATAAAAGACGTTCTACTGTAAGTCCAACGAGACCTCTCGCCGTATAGAAGTTGCTGAGTCACATTAAATTTGTTGAAGATGAATGTCTTCACATTGGCTGAGTATGGAAGCTTAGAGAGAAAACTTTCACTGCGGATGTTATTTTCGTCACTTGATGGTAGTTCAGAATGACGAGGTTCATCCATAATAGCTCTTGGACGGACAGTTTTAAACGTCAATAACTTAAAATCTAAGCCCTTTCAACCTTATTTTAAACTTACCCAGTTTCTAACTGGGCATACAAACTTTAAAGTCTATTTGAAATGCTTCAGTTTGTCGCCAAATGACCAGTGTTCTTGCGCCAGTGACACAGTCCAGGATGTCAAGCATCTGATACTTGTGTTTGTACTAAATTTCTTCCGAAAAACGTACACTCATGAATTATCTACAAAAGAACAATATAGCGTGGCCTCCTTCTTTCTCTGCCTTTGTTCAAGGCAAATAATATTTTACATCATTTTGTGCATACATTAATAGCTTTTTTTCCCGTATTATTTAGATTGTAAATTTTGTGTATTTGCTATCATTTACTGTAAGTGAATATACATGTATATATATGTGGTATATAAGTATAAGGTTGGATGGCAAAAAAACATGTTCAACCCCACTTTTATATAAATTATTTTATATAATAGCTGTCCTAAGTCAGTAATGTTTATAACACTGCATCATCCATTTTATAATTTTTAATCGCGGTCAGAAAAATAATTGTAAGGAACTGTTTTGTGAAATATATTCCAAATGAAGAATTATACAATAGAATAAAATAACCAATATCAATCAATAATTAATATCAATATAACATGATAAAATTTACACATAATAATTATAAATAAACAACATAATAATTATAAATAAATAACAGAGCAATAATTAAAAATAAATAGCATAGAAATAATTATCAACAAATAACATCATAATTATAAATAAAAAACACAGCAATAATTATAAATAAAAAACACAGCAATAATTATAAATAAAAAACACAGCAATAATTATAAATAAATAACATAATAATAATTATAAATAAATAACATACTTTAAATACTTGAGCCCCAAAGCATTCTTGGGAAAACATTAGAGTTTTACTCCAACGATTCTTCATTATTTCTTTTGTAAAGCATTTTTGAGCGCCCGGGCCTAAGGGTAAGGCGTTCCCCCGAGCCAAAGAGGGTTCGAGTCCCCCCAGAGCAGTTCCATTTTACTGTAGAGGATTTAGTTTAACCTTTTGTCCCATTCAAAATAGATAATTACTAAGAAATTTTAAATTTTCGAAACTAAAAAACCCTCCTTAAGGAAAAAAAATTAACTTTTTTAACCCAATTGCATATTCTTCAGTTTTCCTTTATTGTAAAGTGTTTCTGAGCGCCCTGTGGCCTAATGGATAAGGCGTTGGCCCCGAGCCAAAGTTTTGGGGTTTTCGAGTCCTGCCGGGAGCAGTTCCTATTTTTACGGAGAGGATATTAATTTAACCTAGTTTATTCAAAAAGACAAATAAAAAAAAAATTTTAAATTTTCGAAACTCAAAGCCTTTTAAGGTAAACACACAAAATTAACTATGTTTTAACTTCAATTGCATATTCTTCAGTTTTTCCCTTTTTTGTAAAGTAGTTTCTGAGCGCCCTGTGGCCTAATGGAAAGGCGTTGGCCTGACCCAAAGATTGTGGGTTCGAGCCCCAACAGGGAGAGTTCCTATTTTACTGGAGGGGATATTAGTTTAACCTTTTGTCCCATTCAAAATAGACTAATTACTAAAAATTTTTAAATTTTTTCGAAATTCAAAGCCCCCCTTAAAGTAAACATTAACTATTTTAACCCAATTGCATATTCTGCGATTTCCTTTTTGTAAAGTAAGTTTACAGCCGCCCTGTGGCCTACTGGATAAGGCGTTGGCCCCCGGGGATCCAAAGATTGTGGTTCGAGCTGCCGGGAGCAGTTCCTTTTTACGGGAGAGGAAACAAATTTTGTTGTCCCATTCAAATGCCTCATTCAAATGGCATGAGGTCTTGAATTGGAAAAGTGCAGCTCGATATTTTGTGCACTGATGAACCCCTCCCTCCTCCTCCAGCAAATTTGAAAGACTGTATCCCCAATTTTAAAGGTTGGAAACTGTTTCTTCGTTCAATGGTTAAAAGCGTTAATGAAGCTGTCATTGAAAAAACACGGTAAGAACATAGCAATTGCTCTTGATGGGACCTGGCAGAAAAGGGGACACCCCGAAGAATGGGTTGTAAAGGTAATTTTGATAAGGGAAAAAAGTTATTGTTTTTGAGTGCCATAAAATATTGTTTTGAATGAAAAAAATACGAACAAAACCTGTGATAATTGCCGGAAAACTATCATGGATTTATGTGGGAATGGGGGTAAAGGGAGCATTGCGGATTTTCAGTCCCCCCTTACCAAATTACAATGTTCGGTATGTTCAGTATTGGAGATGGAGATTAAAGGGGGTTCCTAAAAGTTCAAGAATAAAACATTTTTGATGAATTTTCTGTTAAAAAACTAGAGTGCATGGGCCCCGTCCAAAAAGAGGATGGGGCAAGACTGAGAGCCCTAAAGAACAATTTAAACCATTGCTGCGCAACAAACCAATATCGGGACGAGGAAGGTAAAGATGCAGAAATTTTCTGTTGAAAAAAATATTATGGCCAACCATAAGAAGAAATGTTGGAAAATAAGTCGCAGATATGTCCGAACCATCGGGGCAATATTTTTCCCATAAACTGCGACAGATGAAAATCCGCAACATGCTTTGGCCCCCATGGGAGAAGAAAGTTGGTGGGGCAAAAAACTTTTATCAGGTAAAAAATACACCCAAAACACCCCTCCCAGAAGGTCGTTTAAAATTAAAAACATTTTAGAGACTTAACTGCAAAGAACGTTATTAAAATGTTTATGTCCCAAAACCGAATCCCAACGAAAGTTTAATAACTGTGGAATCGTGTGCCGAAAAACACATTTTGGGGCAAAAAACTTTTCAAATGGGTGTTATGTAGCAGTTATATGTTTTTAAAGAAGGTATACGCAAAGAAAAGTATTAAAAGCATTAAAAATCAATCCAAACAAATTTGTGAAGGCCTTTGCAAAAATTGGGGACGTCGAATTTGAAGCTGAGATGGTGTTCAAAAAACTACCAAAAAGCCAAAACAACAAAAAAAGGAAATTAAAAGGGCAAGATGCTTTAGAACAGTCAGTGAAGATGAGTACAGTGCTGGAAATTTTTAAAATACAAATCTTAGGTAAGTGCATCATTTTATTTAGTTTATTTTCAATTTTATCAAAATGTGTTTTTTCAGTTTTTAGGAACATGTGCAGAAAAGTCTATTTGTTATATTTTAATGAAACTTGGTATGAGCTTTTGTGTCATTATATAATGTATTTAATGCTACTAATTTTATTTCTGAAATGTTAATATTTTTACTTTTATTACCCAATTTTTAAAAAAAAAGCTATTTTTATCAAAATTCTTTTAAAATCAAAAAAAAAAAATTTTTTAATTCTGTGCAAGGAAATATAAAAAGAACTATTACATTTAAATACAGGTACAATTTTATAACTAAAACAGCAGGTTTTGTGGTGTTATATGTTATAAAAGAAAAGATACATGTACCTAGAGAGCACCATGTATCCGAAAACTCTTTTTTGGTGTGTACTTTTTCAAATTCTTATATTTCTTAAAATATTTTATATATATAATAATTTTATGTTGTAGTATATTAAGAAACATATATAGATTGTATGACACTTTTTTTTTTATAGCTTTCTGTTTTGAAAATAATGTTCTTTTGAAAAGCCAAATTTTTATTTTGTGTCATTGAGAACGTCCCGGTTCCCTTTTAAAGGATAAGGGTTGGGGCGGAGCCAAAGATTGTGGGTTTTAGTCCAGAGGCAGTTCCCTTTTTTAAAGGAGGGGGAATATTAGTTTACCCTTTTTTCCCATTCAAAATACAAAAACTGAGAACTTTAAATTTTTTGAAACCAAAGCCCGTTAGGGGAAACATTAACATTTTTCCCAATTTCCGATTCTTTAGTATTTAATTTTTTCTGAAGTTTTTTCATTGGCCCAGTGACCCATTCAAAACTCAAAGCCTCGTTAGGGAAACATTTAAAAGTTTTCCCAATTGCTGATTCTTCAGTATTTCCCCTTTTTTTGAAGTAGTTGCTGAGCGCCCTTTTGGGCCCAATGGAAAAGGGGCTGGAATCCGGCCAAAGATTGTGGGGTTTGATCCCAGGAACAGTTCCTATTTTAATGGAGAGGATATTAGTTTACCCTTGTTGTCCCATTCAAAATGTGGCCGCGGTAGCTGAGTGGTATGGGTTATCGGAATGCGGCTTGCCTTGTCTCGAGTTCGAGTCCCGTACCACTGAAGACCCGCAGTGTAGGGCAGTGATACCCGTTAAATCTGTCGAGAGCTGAAGCGTTCTCCCGTTGGTGTGGTAGCTAGGAGTGAGGGATACCAGCTCAGGTGTCGTGCATGTCACTTGAACATGGTTCAAAATTACGTGGTCCGTCGCCAAAAGCCCTATTGTAGCTGAACATTGCGACGTTAATTTTCAAACAATCAGTCCCATTCAAAATAGACTAATTACTCAGAAATTTAAATTCTTCGAAAGTCAAAGCCTCGTTAAGGTAAACATTAACACAGTTTTTACTCCAATTGCCGATTCTTCAGTATTTCTATTTTTGTAAAGTAGAAGCTGAGTGCTCCTGTGACCTAATGGATAAGGTGTTGTTCTCCGGAGCCAAATATTGTGATTTCGAGTCCTGCCAGGATCAGTTCCTATTTTAATAGAGAGTATATTAGTTTACCCTTGTTGTCCCATTCAAAATAGGCTAATTACTGTGTGAGAACTTTAAATTCTTCGAAACCTAACGCCTCGTTAGGATAAACATAAACACACAGTTTTTATTCCAATTGCCGGTTCTTCAGTATTTCCTTTTTCTGAAGTTGTTACTGAGATCTCCTGTGGCCTAATGGATTAGACGTTCGTCTCCGAAGCTAAAGATTGTGGGTTCGAGTCCTGTCAGGAGCATTTCCTTTTTTAATGGAGAGGATATTAGCTTACATTTGTTTTCTCATTCAAAATAAACCAAATTAATTTAGAACTTTAAATTCTTTGAAACTGAAACCTCGCGTTAGGGTAAACATTAACACACACACAGTTTTTACTCCAATTGCCGATTCTTCATTATTTCCTTTTTTGTGAAGTAGTTGCTGAGCGCTACTTTGGCCTAATGGATAAGGGATTGGCCTCCGTAGCCAAAGATTGTGGTTTCGAGTTCTGTCAGGAGCAGTTCAGGTTTAAAGAGAGGATATAATTGTACCCTTGTTGGTCCATTTAAAATAGACTAATTACTGAGAACGTAAAATAAATCGAGGCTCAAAGACTTCTCTTTGGCGAGGTATTAAAATTTGGAGATGAGGGCTCTAGAGCTTAGGTGTCATCCTCTTCAGTTGACGGGGTTTCAAAATTACGAAGTTTCAATAATAGCTTTCGTGTTATTTCTCATTGCAACATAAAATAAAATATAAATCATCCGAATAGCTTCGTAATGCAAAATAAAAAAATGATTAATTAGTTCATTAAATAATTGGAAATTGTAATTGGACCAGTAACTGCTAATTTTGCTTCTTAGTTGCAGTTTAATTCTGTGAATTATTTTTTCTTTACTTTATTTATCAATAAATATATAATATTATGCCTTATATATTTTTCTAAATTATACTAGGGTTTTGAATCTCGGTTTCGGAGTGGTAGTTTATCGCGCTGCCACGCCACAGGGCCGGGGTTCAAATTCGGAGCTGGACAATTTAGACTCAGCCTTTCGTCCATTCAGTGGTTCTATAATTGAGTACCAAGCTTGCTTGGTAACTAAACACTGGGCGTTCGAGTCAGACTGACCACTTGACCGAAACACCTACACATGCACCCCAGTGCTTAAGGTCATCTAAACTGAGGTAATACTTGGCCTTATTGGCTGTTGCGCCCTGAGTTCAATAATGGGAATGAAAAAAGTTATTGGTATTTCAAAAAAGTGTGTGTGTACTTATGTACGCACGTAAGAAGTTATACTTCTTTGGCGTAACAAGATTAAAATATTTCTAAAAATCTTTAGCAGGGCAAGCTGGGCCAAGGACGAAAGGCGGTCACGAGTAGAGTTGAACAATACTAACCTTCAGTCAATCGGATCAGCCAAACCAGAGATAATCGCGATTTAAATAAATTTAAACACCCCCGCACTGGGAGAATAGGACCAATAATATTGGAAGGGGGTTGAAGGCGGGAATGATCTGTCCAGTTCTGCATATTTCTAGACAAAGCATTTTCGTATCCCTTCCTACGGAACGTAAAGCAAAGCTTCGCTGACGCGAAGGGATAGCTCACTGGTAGAGCATTCGACTGCAGATCAAGTGGCCCCCGGTTCAAACCCGAGAGT